CTGTTGAATCAAACCCAACTTCTCTCACTTGTAAAATGGGGCATGGTAACAAAAACAAGTTTCCTTCCTTTCTCATAAAAAGATTTCATGGGGCTTAAATGACAGGATAAAGATCACTACCCTTTATCAATATATGGGATGATTTGTATTTACCTGACACTACTTAATTGGTCAAAATATTATTTAATTCTCTCTTTAAGCACATCCAGTAGGCTCTCTTTTGGTTCATATTGTATAAATGAAGAAATCGAGGTTACTTGGGGGTATAGTTTTAGCGAGTGGCATAATTAGAATTTGAGCCACTTTCTATCTGGTCAGAAAGCCCACCTTTTTACATGAAATCTTCCCTTTTTTCATTTTTCCTTAATCTTGTATTTCCTTAAACACTATCTAAAAATTAGTGAGGTAGACGATAGGTGCACATGGCAAATGTAAAATACCAAAAAAAGTACAAAAGTATAAAATGAAAATAAGTTTTTAAAAAGAAGTTTTTCTCCTTTTCCAGAACTCAAGCACCTGGGTTCCTGGATGTGGCCTCCACCCCCAGCTTATGATACTCTTCTGGGCAATCGCTTATAGACTTGCAGGGGGAAAGCTACACACATACATACCGGCCCTCTTGCTATTTTCAAATAACCTTGCTAAGTATTTCACTTTATAGAAATAAAGAAAATTTAAAGAAACATGTTTTTATTTGTCACACCTGGTAGGATGTGAAAAAACATGTTTCTTTTTAAAGGAACATTCAGGGATTTTCCAGTCTTCAACATATCACAAACATCACACATATTGCTGCAATGAATATTCTTATTTTGGGGAAAATATACAGAAAGCATAAATTCACAGTAGTGGAATAGTGCTTCAAATGGCATATTTTAAAATTTTGATAGATACTGCTACACTGTCTTCTCTAGAGGTCAGGCCACATTATACCACTAGCCATAAATATGCTACCAGGTATGACAAGTAAAAACATGTTTCTTTATAATTTTTTTAATATACTTTATTGCGTCAGTATATTTTACACATTAAACGCCATCTGTAATTACTTTGACTCATTTTATGTTGTTTTCTTTGTGCTGAATCTATTGTTTGGGAATTTGTTCATAATAACTATAGCTCATTTTACTTTTCAGTAATTAGTCATTTCACCTTATGAACTACACAAAACTTTCAGTTTGCCATTTATTTTTTTACTCTTTCTTTTCCAAGGCAGATTTTTTTTTTGCATGTAACTAAATTCATTCATTTTCAAATGTATGACCAACTTACTCTTCTCTGGTCAATGTTAGAAAGCCTTTTGTCATTCTTAAATCCTTTTAAAAAAATCATTGCTTTAATCCCTAGTAAATTTTTATAATAGGTGTAAGGTGTAAGAGTTAGAAAAAAATTTAAAAATTAATTTGAGCCAAGTTCTATCTGGTCATAAAGCCTACCTTTTAATTCATTTTTTATTTTTATGTAGTTCTTTTACTATTCTTTTTTTCCCCCTAACATTTCTCAGAGTTTTTCACCCTCTATTGAATAATTTCTATTTTTCCTCTAGGTCAAAATGATAAAGGCACCTTTATCTATCATGTACTAGGTTATATATATAATTAAGTTTATTTCTAGACTTTTTCCAGTAGATATATCTACTCAAGAATCTGAATTATACTCTAATGATTATGACTTTATATTATCTTGCAATATTTGGTAGGATCTGTCCCTGACTATTTTTTATCTTTAATTTTCCATTTCAAAATTAAAAAATCTATTTATTTCCCCAAAATTATAGTTGATATTTTTATTGAGATCCTATAAATGTATGGATTAATTTTGGGATAACTGCCACCTTCTGATTTAAACACAAAATAAATGTTTTATTTATTCAAAAATTTTATGTCTCTTATCAACATTTAAAAATTTTCTTTCCAAAATACCAGATGGTCTCACTCATAGCAGGAATCTAGAAAACTTAAATAAGGGACCAGGAAAAAGAATAACTATAAGAAAGAAAATATCAAAATCAACAAACAACTATGAACCAGAGACACTCTATGGGGGTGGGGGGCAGGGAAAGGAGGGATAGGGTTCAAAATAAGAGGGTTGGAGACCGGGTGGGGTGCAGGGAAGTGCGTCCCACATTGCCATTTTAGAACAGGGACCTTTCTTCAGTAAAGACTGCTTGAAACCAGCAGAAGGCCCCCGGAGGAGCCAGAGGTGAGCTGGGAAGTTCGCCCACGCCAGGCCACTTCTGGCCAGCAGTCCGAGCCCAGAGGGGAGTGGGCACCCACCGCCGGGGCAGACCGGGCGTGCAGGGGAGTGCATCCCACATCGCCACTTTAGAATAGTGACCTTTCTTCAATAAAGACTGCTTGAAACTGGCAGAAGCCTCCCTGTGGAACCAGAAGGAAAAGGTTCCCTGTGCAGTCAGAGGTGAGCTGAAGGCCCCCACAAGCCTGGTCCCGCCTGGCAGGAAGTTAGAAACCAGAGAGGAATCTAGTGATTTGGAACCCAGAGTGTAATCCATCTGCCCCACCTCCAGGGAAGTTTGTGGGACTTCAAGACACACCTTTCTAATTAAACACAGAAGGAGGAAATATTCTGTGACAGCGACAATTAACATACTCAAAGTACCACTGCCTCACTAGACTTCTGGCATAACAGTATTTGACTCATTTAGACCGCCAGTTCCCAAACCCCACAAAGAGCACACCAAAAAGATGCCGGCCAGTACCAGCAACACAGTGTCCCAAGGCATATGGCAAATTAGAAAACAGGCAGTAGGGAGTAGAAAAACTACATGCAACCGAGCAACTCCTCAGGAAAAAGGCACACCACAAAAAGAAAACCACCAACCAGATTGCAACAACAGTAACTTGGAAGAACTTCTGAGCCTTTCAGAAAGAGAATTTAAAATTGCTGTGATTAAAAAACTGACAGAAGTCATAAAGGAAAACAATGATAAGGGAAAAATAATCAACGATCATAAGAATGAAATTGAGTCCCTAAAGAGGGAAGTAAAAGAAATGCAGGAGATCAAAGAATTAATGGAGGAGCTAAAGAACTCAAAATAAGGGGGTTGCAATTGTATGGGGAATATAAAAATAAAATTAAAAAATAAAATAAAGAAGTCAATAAATTTAAGTAAAAACATTTTCTAGGCAGTTAATGTTTGCAATTTTATCTGAAAATAAGTTGAATACAGTTTTCATAAAATGAAAATGATAAATCACAGGAGGCTTGAAATTTCATAAATTCTATTACAATGTCTCTATGGCATCACAAATGATAAATGTGAGATAGGGCATCTGTTAATTATTATTGGTACCTTATAATAACTTTTCTCTCTGTTCCAGTATTAGAAGCAAAGCCACCTTCACAGTTATGGTGGTATAAAATAAATAAATAAATAAAGTTTTCTTTCCATAGATCTTGCAATTTCTTGTTAAGTTTATTCCTAAATATTTTACCTCTGTTTTATTAATGAAAACTTTGCTTTATTACATTAAAAATAGTTTAATTTTTATACAGTTTTAGTTTTATTACATATAGCTTTAGTTTTATTACATAAGGAGGCAATTTTTTTTAAATGAAAAATTATTTCCTATCACTGCATAATTCTATTTTGCAATGGTGTTTCAGTTAATTTTCTTGTGTTTTCCAGGTACAATGATGACATATAAATTGGACTCCTTGTTAGCATTCCCTCTCTTGTTACCTTTTTCTAATTCTAGCTGATAATTGTGGGTAGTCTTTGCTTGGTCTTGACATTCATGAGAATGTCAAGAATTAATGGAGGAGCTAAAGAACTCAAAATAAGGGGGTTGCAATTGTATGGGGAATATAAAAAATAAAATTAAAAAAATAAAATAAAGAAGTCAATAAATTTAATTAAAAACATTTTCCAGGCAGTTAATGTTTGCAATTTTATCTGAAAATAAGTTGAATACTCTAGATCTTTCATCAGTAGACATGATTGGGGAAGTAGGCTTCTTCTGGCTAAAGAGGTCTCATCTATTCCTGTTCTATTAAGGGTTTTAAAATTAAGTATTCACATGGAATAGTATCAAAAGCATTTTATATATGGATGAAATGATTGTATGATTTTCCCCCTAATTTCTATTTATGTGGCAAACTTTATTAAACTACATTTGCTGGTATTAGACCAGCCCTGGGATCCTGATTTTCTTCCATGTTGGTGGTGTAGTATTTGGAATGTGAGGCTGGACCTATGTGTTAGTAGACTTTTGCACTGACATCTGTAAGTGAGGGTGGGGGCTGCTTCTGTTTTGTAGTTTCTTTATTGGCCATGCTTGGCACCTTTTGTCCCTCTTCTGTGCTCTGGGACTGTTTAAATGTAAAAACTAATCCCTTAATCACCAGAGAAGACTGGCTTCAACCCCAGTGTGCATGTAAACACTCTTGGTCAATGCTAACTGCTCTACAGTTGTAACTGTCAGGGGCAGCAATGTCCCAAATGTGAGTCCTGGGAGGAGAGAATAACCCAAGATAAAGAGGATGACACTGGCTCAAGTACCTCAGTGCTGCAGACAAATTTTCCATTTCTTTTTTAATCCATCATGAAAACTCAGATTTTGGTTCCCATGAAATTCTCATTAACAGAAATCACTGTTCCCTTAATGCATTTTACGTGAGAGTGGAAAAGGGCCTTGGAAACCCCAGTCAGCCTCCCCTATTCCAGAAAGGCAGAGAGGGGCCACAGAGGTGAAAGAATGGCCAGGAGGTGCACTGCAGGCAGTGACAGAGTTCAAACCCAGGCCATGGGACTCCGAACTTGTGTTCTTCTCCTGACTCTCAACTGTCTCTGTTCTTGCCATAAAACTGAGAAGGCTCCCACAGGCCCCAGCAAATTACCATGCACCCCACTTATCCCCACCAGCTTTGCCAGAACCAGCTCACTTTGGGGATGACATATTGTCTGAATTTCATGTTCCTGGTCACAGCATGGGGTAAAAAAACAAAAAACAAAAAACAAGAACGTTGACATACCTTTGTATCTCATTCAACACACGGCCTCTGTATAAGGCAGCCTCATCTTGTCCTTCATTCAGGAGATTTGGTGATGTCCAATCACATGGTCAATTTCTTCATGAACTTTGGGTTGTGTTTCTCCTGCCAGAAAAACCAATGAGAGAGTTAATAGTTACGAGTTAAGAAGAAGGCAGTGGCTTATCAGAGTCTATGACCACACCCCCTCACTCCTTAATAAGCTCCATATTTTATCGTGTACTATTGTGTAGTGGAGGGGAAAAAAAAAAAAACAAAACCAACCACCATAGGGGAAGGACCCCCTGCTTTTGGTAAAATTGGTCAAAAATGGTGTGCAATGTCACAAACCCTTTTCCTGACCGTTTTCACACTTCATCTCTCTCTAACTTGTGATTTACTTCTTTATGTGATTTTCTCTATTAGAGGATAAGCAATTTCAAAGCAGATCAATATGAGGTTTATGTCTCTATTTTCCTCCAAATTTACTACAGCCAGTGTCAACCTGAACTGAATGCGGAGGAGCAAAGGAACTCTAAGTCACAGTTATCTTCAAACCACTTTCCCCTCTCCCTCCTCTAAATCCAGCATTTCCAGACTACTCAAAATCAAATACAGGGACAGTCATGCTAACGCTAAAAAGCATTCAGGGCATTCCCAAGGTCTCATCCTGATGCCTTTTAAACTCTCAGCCTCCTCACCATCCTCTCCCCCACTCCAACTTTGGAGCTTAAGGGCCAATCACAGCTGTTCATTAAATCCCCCGACATTGTTTTGCGCCCTCATTTTGCTCATTCTCTCCCTTTTGCTCACAAGTCTGCCCCCACCCTATTTTCTTTGCTGGGTTTCTAGCTACCCTCTAAGAGTCATCTCAAAATCTCTTATCAAGCTATCACCAGTCACTTCGACATGTGTTCAATCCCTGGCCAGGGAGCTATCCACATGGCGCAGCAGACCTCTCCTGCCACGCCCGCTGCTCCCCTCAGCAGTGCACTTCATCAGTCTGCCTGTTCTGTTCCCGGCTCTGTCTCTGGTGAATCCTCTCACCCCCTACACCTCTGGCCTGTACCCCAACTCTTGTATGCATAAATAAATCTTTAAAAAAATTTTTAAAGAATGGAAATAAAATATATCTTCCTATATATCTTCCTCTTGAAACTGTTGTGTCAGTTAAATATTGTAAAAATATGTGAAACTCTTAGTACAGTTCATGGCTCATAAGAAATAACAAACATTAACTGTTATAATAACCACTCAATTCAACTATAATCCAATTATTAGAACAGCTAATACTTATTAGTAATTATTAGTGGATCCTTGGAATATTTTCATCTTTTCAAATTTTGAATGATGTTTTAATATCAACTTTAAATCAAAAGGAATATTCATAAATTTGGTAATTTTTTTAATCCTTACATTGGACATTTGATTGTTACTATGTTGTTGTTGTTGTTGTTGTTTTTGCTGTTCATTTATTCTTTCACATATTGAATAAATTTTCACTGATCTTTATATGCCAGATTCTAAAACTATTACTTCTGGGATCATTCTGACTTAAAATTGTCCCCATATCATGGATTATTTCTCAAGATAGTTTTCTAAGGAAAAATTAGTCACTGTGAATGTCTCTTTAGACAAGCGTGGCTGTTACAAGGTGGGGGATCCAGGACAGTAACTGAAAGGCGTATGCGGGGGGCGGGCACTGGGGATGATCCTGTGGACAGTGGGTTTATCAGTTAGAGTCCAACCAGGAAAACAGAAACCTCTCTAAATATTTAAAACAGAGGAAATTTAACCCAGGGAATTGGGTTTTAGGTGATGGAAATGCTGAGAGGCAGACCAGGGACTACTAGACCGCCCGCAGCCATCCCCTGCCTCAGCGGCTGCTGACAACAAGGAGGAGGCACAGGGAGGAGCTGCTGGCTCTGGAACTCAGGGGCCACCTACAAGGCAGAGCCAGACACCCCATGCAGTCCTGAAGGAGCTAGAGCCACAGGACACCTCAACTCATAGGAGGGAAGCCATTGAGGCAGAAAGGATGGACCTGTGGCTTCTCTCCTTTCACACACTGACCTCATGCCCTGCCCTGCCCTGCCCTGCTTTGGCTGATCCCAGCCAGATCCAGCTGTCACAGGAGTAGGGGATATTAAACCAGTGGCATGAATGACACCAGGAACCAGGGGCAAGCAGGGGAGCTAAGGGAATGGTTCTTGGGACAAGCAAAGAGAAACAGATCACCCAGGATGGGAAACGCATTACAAAGAAGTTTAATTTTTAAATTCACACAAAACCAGTAATGATCAACTTATTTAGGAAAAAGGGAAGCAGTAGAGGAAAAGTTTTGTGGTTTCTTCAGGTGAACAGATGCGTCCTGATCTTGTGTGAGAGAGACCAAAAATCACTTCTCTCTTGTCATTTATCCATTGCATTGTATTAATGATTAATAAATAAGCTTTGAGAAGAATTAAGTTTCTGTTTCATTGGGACTTGCAATTTGATAACTTTAAGTTTGTGGGATCTTTCAGGTTCTCCTGGGTCTTTTTACTGTGTAGTACTTGATACTATAAAGAAAGAGGCAGCACATGTTTGTTTTGAGTGATTTGTGAGCCTCTTGACAACTGAGGACCAAGAACGTGAGGAGGACCACTGCAGTGCACTTTGAACCCACACACCTCCCCCAGCACCCCTAGAAGTAATGTCTATACCTCACCACCCTTCTCTTGCTGTCACTGTGCTACTGCAGCCTTTGCAGCGTGTGAAATGACACCCCAGGCATGGCTTCTCCAGTCATCTAAACCTCAAGGCCCCTGGGCAGTAATTTTTATTTCACAAGGTTCCCAGACTGTTCTCTATGCCGCTCATGTTTGCAGATTTACAAGGAACTGGTCAGTTCTTGATGTTCATCTCCATGGAGGTACCAGAGCATGTTACATCACAGAAGGGTTTGTCCGGTCTTTGTCCTTGCATGCCAGAGGGCGCTTCTAAGCCATTGAAATTTCCCAAGTGTTGAAAGTCTCTTTGCTATTCATGGTGGACTTCTGGGGTCACTCCTAAGTTTAGGATAAGGTGGTGACTCATGATGGCTCCCTAGATGGTCTCAAGGTGGCCTTGCCAGAAAAACCAATTGTATATTTAGAAGTTTGGAGCTTTCAGTCAAGTGATATTGCCCCAATCTACTGATTTCCAGAGAGGGGAGGGGGCAAGAGACTGAGTTTCCACCATGTGGCCAATGACTCATTTATGCTCACCTAGAAACTCCTCGAACAACTCAAGGCAACAAAAAGCCCAGGTGAGCTTTCTGGTTGGCAAATACTTCAATCGATCAAGAGGAAATGGCACATTCTGATTCCTAGGGAGAGGCTGCAGAAGCTCTAAAGCTGGGACCCTTTGAGACATCATCCTACAAGTCTCTTCATTTGCATTCTTAATAGAATAAAACTGTAATTGTAAGTATAGCACCTTTCTGAGTTCTGTAATTCTAGCAAATTATTGAACTCAAGGGGTGGGGGGGGTGACAGGAACCCCTAAATTTTTCATCATTTACTCAGAAATGTGGATGATCTGGTGCCCCCTGAACTTGTGGTTGTCATTGAACAATGTCTTTAAGCCCCGGAGTTGTGCTAATTGTGCATAGTTAGCACAGAATGGCGCTGTGGTGTCATAGCACCTAATTAGTTGCCAAAGAAAATTAAATGTATTTTTTTTCTGAACTTACCATTTCCTTTTAGGGTCTCCTCAGCAATGGGAACATAAGATCTGTCAAGGAATTCTTCACCCCGATCTATCAGAGCTTCCTTCACTGCATCATATCCATATAAGACCACAGTGGGTTTGGATCCAAGATAGAGTATAGACAGGACCATGCTGTTGGCCAACTGGAGAGAGATGCAAGTTGCTGTGAGTGTGCTTGTGAAATCTCTCCGCTGAAGGCTTGGGTAGAAATTAAGTAATAATTTACATGTGGTTTAGCCTTTGCTCCATCAATTCCATTTAGGAACTTAAATGGAGTCATGAATTATTGTCATGGATTGCTTTTTCCCTTCATTGATAGATAACATGCAACCTTTGAGCAAATATTTACCAAGCACCTAAATTGTACTGGCCCTGCACAATCCTGGAGGCCTCAGGGAGCTCAGTCTAGTGAAAGTCACAGACAGTAAACAAGCAAACAACGTTTGCAACCCAAATAGAGCACAATTCTATGACATTGATAGAGTGTACTATGTTGGATGATAACAGGAGAAGTTAATAAAATAGAGACATCAGGGGTCTCTAAGGAGGTAAAATTAAAGATTAGAAGGAAGCAGTGAGTGTGAGGGCTTGGAGGACAGCTCACTAAGCAGTTATAAAAAAAAAGATAGCATTGTTTCAAGAGGAATAATAGTGTAAAAACAGCCAATAATGGGGAATTGGTTTGCAAACTTATTTTACATCCAAGCAATTGAATTCAAAGCAGTCATTTAAAATTAATTATAGGAGGATATATAATAGTATGGAAACATGTTCAAGTGCTAAGCAAATTACTGAAAACAAAATTACATTTAAAAATACATTTTTAAAAAGTCCAGTTTATAATGATCTTCCATCTTTCAACAAGCAAAACTTGCTACCTAGTTTTTCTGCCTTTCCTTTTTTCTCAATTTCCACTTAGATGGTAGAGAATTTTGCCATTATTACCTCCTTTCTCTGTCCCAGAAGATGATCTGTACTTCTTTTGCTCCTCTGAATGAGTGTGTCTGTATTTTGGGGTACAAACTGCCAGGTCCTCCTGTCCCAGCTTCACCTCAGCTAATGATGCTGCTCCTCATTTCACAGAGATAATAGGAGGAGACTTTCCATAAGCGTCAGCTGTAGTACCTGCTCACTTACCTGCAGCTGTACTCATGGCTGTAGGCTTCTTAAATGTAAATGACTCTCCATGCTCCTACAAAATGTCCTATTCCCCAACCTCTCTGCTAGATTCTATTCCCTTCCTGCTCCTGCAAAATGACATTCCTCTTCACAGCAGAACTGACCACATCACCCCAATTCCTCCTCCTCCCAGCCCCTGGCAACCACCATTCTGCTCTCTACTTCTGTGTCAGATTATCTCAGAGGCCACTGGCAGGTGAGATCATGCATTTTCTTGCTGGGTCTGGCTTGAATCGCTTAGCATAATGCCCTTCAATTTCATCCATGCTTTTGTAAGTGACAGGATTTCCTTCCTTTTTTTAAGGGCAAATAATATTCCTCTCTGTGTGTGAGTGAGTGTATGTGTGTGTGTATGTGTTTCACACCACATTTTCCTTATTCATCTATTCAAAGACATGATAAACTCATGGTGAAAGCTTCTTTTCCCAGAGTGTGAAAGTCAAGGTAGCAGAGCTGGCTGTGTCAGAGCAAGATGTTGGGGAGGGAAGAGCAGGAATCTCTTTAGAAGAAGGGTCACATAGTTCCCTGTAGAGCATTTAGTATGAACCAGTAATAATAATAATAAAAAAGAGTATTCATTACATTTTCTCGGCTTGCCTTTTGGTACAAACCTTTTGGTTACAGGCTGAGGGGACTGGAAGTCTTTCAATTAAAATATGTTCTGACCCCAGAATTTTCTCATACATAGAATTCAACCTATATCTCCAGTCAGGTCAATGTGTCTTATTCTCTGCTCTGATGGAAACTGGTCCAGAAAAAAAGAGGCTCTGTCTAACACAGAACTGAATGCCCAAAAGTGCCTCAGAGTTGGGTGAGGAATCTGGGTAAGACACCAACATGCAAGGGCCCAAGATGCAGAGCCTGAAAATGACCCCCTTCTCTGGGGGGACCACCCCAGAGTGAGACCCCTTACCTTGGAGAAAGATGTAGAGACATCCTTGAGGTTTAGTTGCAACAAATACCCCCACTGTGATTTTTCTTCTATATAAAAAGGTAAAACAAGCAAGTGACACAAATGATAACAGCAGGACTGGTGACTTCCGGCAGCTCCCTCTCAGCTCCTGGATGTCCGCAAACTGTCCAGGCTGCTTATTTTCTAGCAAAATCTTTTGCAGGGGGTGTGACCTGGCAGCCAAAGACTGGTCTGAGTTCCTCTACTTGGAAAAAAAAAACTGGGATTGGTTTCGGCTTTATTTACTTTGCTGAAACTTGAGATTAATAAGATTTGTGTCTTCCCTAACACTGACCACAAAACCAGCAAACTTTGATTTACTAAGCATTTCCCATTCGTGGACTTTTCCCTTTTAGTAAGGATAATTCGTTCTTTATACAGCTGTGTTTTATTCTTTATAACTTTCCAAAATTGTTCAAATAATTAAATGCATATATTTGAAAACAATATCGTGTACCCTGAGGCCTCATTCGGAAAAGCAGTAGCCCTCCTAGAACGCATTTGTATCATGTCTCTCATCAGATAAATGTCTACATTTATCTGATACAATCCATCGGCCTATGAAGGAATAAATGAAATGTAATCTATGCATGCAGTAGGTGATGCCTCCTTGACAGCGGAAATCCTAACTTTTGCTGCAACACGAACGAGACATAACGCAAAGTGAAATAATCTCCAAATGTTGTACAAAGGTACAAATGTTCATTCCACATAAATGAGGTGCCCAGAGTCAGGATAACAAAATGGAAAGTAGATTAGAGGCTACAGGGGATGGGGGAACAGGGAGCTAATGTTTAATGAGTATAGAGTGGAAAACATTCTGAAATCAATAATGGTGCTAAATACACAAAATTGTGACCGCCCCTAATGCCGCTGAACTGAATGTACATTGTAAAATGGTTAAAATGATATATTGTATGTATATTTGCAACTTTAAAAACATTTACTAAACTGGCATTTGAAAAACGTTAACTCATTTGTATTTGCATTTAAAATAATTGATGTTTTCATTATTTTTGAGATAAAGCTTAGTATCTTCAATAATATCTCAGTCTATTCATTATTTTATGGAGAATTTGTTAATATAATAAATCTTTTAAAAAATCTTCAAAAAGGGGCCTCCCTGGTGGTGCAAGGGGTTAAGCACAGCACTGTGAAGCTATCCGCAGCCTCTGCAACACGAGTTCGATCCCCAGTTGGCCAGGGAGCAACCCACATGGTGCAGCAGAACTCTCCTGTCTCGCCCACTGTTCCCCTCAGCAGTGTGTTTTAGTCAATCTGCCTGTTCTGCTCCCTGGTGAATCTTCTCACCCCACTCCCCACCTCTGACCTGTACCCCAGATTTAAATAAATCTTCAAAAAAAAATCTTCAGAAAGTCTACTGTGGTTTACTATTACCTCCTACAACAAACATTAAAATTCTATTAAGCACTAAAATTCTTCATTAAATGGTTTTATTGTTTTTCACTCATTTCAGAACCATCCCTCTGTATTCTCCACTGCTGTTTACTTCCACTAAACAAAACTGTTCATTAACCTACATTCCTGTGTCCATCAGCCTCCGGGCTAGCGGGCCTGGATGCAGCCAGAGCCCACGATGGATTTGTGCGTGAAGGTAGAAGGAATCAGCTTAAGGACCGCATATACCTTTCTTTATTCCTTCCAGCGCCTTCTGTGGTGCTTTTGTTGAGTTCTGTGCAAATAAATATTCATTTGCCAGAATTTCACAGAGAGGTAAATTATTAACTAGTACTATTTGAAAGGTTGGTACATCATGTTTCGAGAGTGGACTGGAAAACATGTTGGCAATGAACAGTGATTTTTATACTTAATCATATTCTCCTGCTAAAAAATATGGAAAGGTTTTCTTGGTTTTGTTTTTTTAATAGACTTTTTTTTATGATGATGATGTCACGCTTTGAGAACAGTTTTAGGTTCACAGGAAAATCAAAAGGCAGTTTTCCCACATACACCCTGCCTCACACAAGCACAGTCTCCCTTATAACCACCATCCCCCATTGGAGTGGTACATTTGATACAAATGATGAAACTACATTGACAAACCATAATCATCCAAAGTCCATAGTTTACATGAGGATTCACATGTGGTGGTGTATTGTTTACGGGTTTGACAAAAGTATAATGACACACGTGTCTGTATAGTTGCAAGCAGAGCTTTTTCACTTCCTAAAAATCCCCTGTGCTCTGCCTAGTCATCCCTCTCTCTCCCCAGTCCTGAAAACCACTGATCTTTTCACTGCTGCCACAGTTTTGCCTTTTCTAGAATGTCATAGGATTAGAATCATCCAATGTGTAGTCTTTTTGGATTGGTTTCTTTCACTTAGTAATGTGCACTTAAGGTTCTTCCATGTCTCTTCATGACTTGATAGTTGATTTTTCTTTTTAGCAGTAATATTTTGTTGTCTGGATATATCAGTTTATTTTTCCATTCATATATTGAAGGACACCTTGATTGCTTCCAAGCTTTGCCAACGATGAATGAAGCTGCCATAAACATGTAAGTTTTTGGTAGATGTTAAGTTTTTAACTCATTTGAATGAATATCAAGAAGTGTAACTGCTGGATCATGTAAGAGTACACTAAGTTTTATAAGTAAAACTATCTTCCAAAGTGGTTGTACCATTTTGCATATACATCAGCAGTGAAGGAGAGTTCCTGTGGCGCCACAACCTTGCCAGCATTTCATGTTGTCATTGTTCTGGATTTTGACCATTCGATAACAGGTGAATAGAGGTATTTCATTGCTGTTTTAAAATGCATTGCCTTGATGACATATATGAAACATCTTTCATATGCTTATTTGCCATCTGTTATTTACCATCTTTCATATGCTTATTTGCCATCTGTTGCCATCTTCTTTGTTAAGGTGTCAAAGTCTTTGGTCTATTTTGTATTTGGGTTGTTTCTTATTCTTGAATTTTAAGAATTCTTTGTATATTTTAGCAATAATCCTATAGGAGACTTGTCATTTGCAAAGATTTTTCTCCCAGTCTGAGGCTGTCTTCTCATTCTTTTCCATTGTCTTTTGTAGAACTGAAGTATTTTATATTTAATATAGTGCAATTTTCAATTCCTTCTTCTATATGTCATGCCTTTGGTGTTGAACATTTAATTCTGTGATCCATTTTGAGTTAATATTTGTGAAGAGTGTAAAGTCTGCAGCTAGATTTTTTTTTCTTGCACATGGATGTCCAGTTGTTTCGCCACCATTTGTTGCAAGGACTAGTTTTTTCATTGTACTGTCATTACTCCTTTGTCAAAGATAACTTATGTTTATGTAGGTTTATTTTTGGGAACTCCATTATGTCCCATTGATCTATTTGTCTATACTTTTGCCAGTATCACTTTGTTTTGATGTTATAGCTATGTAGTGAATTTTTTTTTTTAAAGATTTATTTATTTATTTATACAAGCACTGGGTACAGTCAGAAGCGCGGGAGGGTGAGCGAACTCAACAGAGCCAAAGCAGAGCAGGCAGAAGGACCGAAGTACACTGCTGAGGGGAGCAGCGGGTGGCAGGAGAGGTCTGTGCGCCATGTGGAACCCTTGCTGGCAGCCAGGGATCGAACCGGCGCTGCAGAGGCTGCGGGCAGCTTCGCAACCCAGAGCTCAACCGCTGCGCCCCCGGGGAGGCCCTGAGTAGTGAGTTTTAAAGTCAGGTCATGTCAGTCCTCCAACTTTGTTCTTCTCTTTCACTATTTTGTTGTCTTTTCTGGGTCTCTTGCCTCTCCAAGTAACTTAGAGTCAGTTCATTAAAATCCACATGGTAACTTGAGATTATGATTGGGATTGCATTGACTCTAAAGATCAAATTGGGGAGACGTAACAAGTTGTGAGGAATATTGAGTCTTCCTATTCATGAACATGGACCAGTTTTGTTTTCCTCTTGTAGATATTGTACATATTTTGTTAGATTTATACTTAAGTATTTCAGATTTTTTGGGTGCTATTGTGATAGTTTTCAATTTTAAATTCTGAGCGTTCTATTTGAATGGTTTATTTCTAACCACTGGAAAAAGTCAATGATAATATAACAAGACTGCAAACATCCGCTGTGATCTGCCTAGACCTTTCCCTCTTTTAACACCTACCTCCATTCTCATCTTTTGGTGCTCCCATTCTTACTAATAATGTGTGCCTATATTAATCTTTATTCTGTTCCTGGAAGGCTCTTGAACTAAGGTGCTTCACATTATTATTAGCCTTTATTTTTTAAAGCAGTCTCATTGAGATATAATCAACACGCCACATAACTCACCTATTTTAAATATACAGCTTCGTTTGTGTGGAATTTCTGTCATATGGTAACGGTTCCTACACCACTTTATATTCCTACTAGCAATAGAAGATGATTCCATTTTCTCCACACCCTTGCCAACATTTGCTATTGTCTCTTTTACTATGGTCATCAAGTGAGTATGAAGCGGAATCTTGTGTGGTTTTGATTGGCATTTCTCTAATGACTGATGATGCTGAATATCTTTCATATTGTTTTGCCACTTGTATATCTTCTCTGAAGAAATGTCTGTTGATATCCCATTTTAAAATTGGGCTATCTTTTCATTGCTATCTCCTCATCTTTAACATTTTTTCATCTTTATCTCTCCTTCCTTTTTTGCTCACTCCTTTTTTGCAAACATATATATATTTGAATTCAGATATAATTTAATTATTTGTGCATGGTTACTTATTGAGAGAAACTTCAACTTATTAAAATGACAATCTGAACAACTAATTGTATTACTTTATGTTACTGAGGAAACATGTACTCTCAGCTGTGATTAGAAATGTTAACACATTTATTTGAAATATGAGAACTAAAAAATGGGAAAAATTCAGGGCTTTTCTAAATTTAAAGAAAGTGAAAATAATAATTATATTTGCCTCCAGAGGACAGTGGCTTTCTTGATTATTTTATACTTTGCTAAACTGTACCTTGTTTTACGATCACCAGTTTTCTTCTCCAAAGAAATCAGAAAATGTGGAAGTTACTTTAACTGGATCACTAAAATGGTGAATTATAATTCCATTAAAGTAAAACTGAGTTGCTCAGGTAAGGTGTGAGATCTCTTTTAGAGATGGTTGTTATTGGTCTAACCTCTTTGCCGGCTGATACTGGCATCTTTTAGGAAGATTAATTCAATTGTGCATGATAAATTGAAATGAGAAATAACTAGAGGCCAGAAGAGCATCATTAGGAAGTGATGTCAAAAATTTAAGTGAAACAACGGGCCTCCCCAGTGGCGCAGTGGTTGAGCGCTGGGCTGTGAAGCCCTGCAGCGCGGGTTCAATCCCCGGCCACCAGACGAGGGTCCCACATGGCGTGCAGACCTCTCCTGCCGCCCGCTGCTCCCCTCAGCAGTGTACTTCGTCAGTCTGCCTGTTCTGCTCTCCTCTCTGGCTCTGGTCAATTCTCTCACCCTCCCACGCTTCTGACTGTACCCAGTGCTTGTATAAATAAATAAATAAATATTTAAAAAAAAAAAAAGACATTAAAAAAAAAAATTTAAGTGAAACAAGAAGGGCAGGTTGGCACGTGTGGAGCAGGTGGGCTCAATAACAAGAGCCCAAAGGGCAGATTAGCACAAAAAGGCCTTGTGGGCTCAACAAGAAGACCAGGAAGGGAGTCTTATCACATTTGAAATTGCTTTAAGGTCTACTTCCCATGAGCCTGTTGATTCTAAGAGGGCAAGGGCTGTTAAGTCTTAGTCACTATTGTTTTGTTCACTGTTGGCCCATTATTTTACACATTTTAGGTTTCCTGGCACAAATTAGGCATTCAACAAATACTTGAGTTCTACTTAACTTGTTTTCACTGAAAAGGTTTTGGGGGGTCATCTCCTCTCTCATCATTTGCCCTGCTGGCTCCTACTGTTTGGGAGTTGCTCTAAGGATATCAATTCCTGTACCTACATGCTCAAAATAACTACAGCTTCCATCATGCAAGAGTATTCCTGTAGTGCAGTCACATGGGAGTTGCATATGTAGCACTGTTGGGGCAAGAAGACCAGTGAACAGCTGTAAGGACAGGAATGGACCACAGTGCAGGTTTTCTGATCCAGCATACCAGGTAAAGGAGGAGTAGGAGAACTCAGTGGCTTTTTTGCAGGCTCTTATTGGAGTTTATCAGGTACACAGCAGGCAGCAGTACTGGGGAGCCAGGAGGCTGGCAGGCCTCCCAGCCCCCAGCAAGTCTTCACCCTATCTGGGCTCTCCGGCGTTCTCTCTCTCGGCTTCTGTTCGTTCTTGGCTTCTGCTGGCGTCCCTGTGATGCCGTCTTTAAAAGCCCTGTCTTAGCCCAGGTGAATCCCATCTACATATGCCATACCCTACTCCAGGTGCCGGCCATCAAGGCATGCATTCAGGACCGCAAGGATCCATCATCTATCCTGATGGCGGGAGGGCAGAAAAGCCTGATACATTTTCCTTACAACAGCATTTTAAAATACAGTAGTATCTGGTGCTCCCACTGCCTGGAACACCTTCCAACATCACCACCATGCTTTTCAGCTGGCTGCCAGCTGGCCATCCTTAAAAACTTGGCTCAGATCTATCGCTGCCTCTTAGAAACCGCCAGATTGGGCTGACCCTTATTTGTGTCCCTTTGCATCTGGTTCACCCTATTTATTATACTTGCCTCTTTATTTGCTGTACTGTCCCACCCCCCAGACAAGGCTATATGCCCTTTTTTGTCTCAGCAACTGGCATATATGAGATACCAAAAAAATATTTATAGTAAGAAAGGAAAAGTGATTTTAGAAGATAAATAACAGTAATAGATGATGTGCTCGTCTGCTCAGGCTGCTAACAAAATTCCATAAACTGGGTGGCTTAAACCACAAACCTGTCACAGTTCTGGAGGCCCAAGAGCCAGTTGCTGGCAGATTGGGTATCTAGTGAGAAACTTCTTTCTAGTTCGCAGTTGGTTACCTTCTTGCTGTGTCTTCATGTGGCTGAGAAACTTCTGTTTTGTATCTCTTCTGTAAGGGCACTAATTCCATTTGAGTGTTCTTCCCTCAAACTTAATTCCTCCCAAAGGTCCCACCTCCAAATACTTTGGGCATTAGGGCTTCAACATGACTTTATCTGCAAAAGATGGGAAGTAGAAAAATGGATAGGAAAATTTGGAAATGCACTAATTCCAAAGGAAAATAGTAGGGGAAAAAATGCATGCTAAGCCACAGTCTATGTGATAACGGACACTTGAAATAAGCAATGAATTAACAGAAAATTAATTTTGAATGACTATACAAGGAGACCAGAAGCAAGCTGAGAAGCTGGCTCAGCTTAATATGTTCCTGGATGGCTGTGTTGAGATATAAAATCCTGCTAGCTTAGCTTAGCGCCGAAGATGTAACTCAGTGTGCTTATGAAGCACTTGTATGTGTTGGACATTGTGCTGACTCTTTATTATAGGAACTTAGTCTACTCAGGGACAGAAACATAGCAATTCCTATCAACAGGGTGAATTAATGCACCCGAGCAATTACCACATGTAAACCACTATGCTAGCTGCATGAACATATCTTGCTGAACCCAGTCCTAAAGGAAAAGCAGGTTCAGAGACATTAAGAAACTTCCCACTGTTACATATTAAGTCCTGATGTGGACACTCTTGCCTAACTTCTATGCTCTTTCTTCCCACTACTAACCTGCACTTCACATTCATCTTCCACGTGACAAACTCCTACGGGCCAGGTAATGTGCTAGCATGAGTGACAGACCACCCCAGGGAAGAGTATGGTCACAGGCCCTGTCCCCTGGAGAGCTGAACATTTGTGAGACCAGACATTAAGCAGATGTGACATAAGTACGGTGTCACTACTAAGGGGGGAACTGACCTTAGCAAGCAGTTCAAGGTGACCACTCCGAAGACACACTGAGAATTAGCAAAGGCAAGTTGGAGGAAAAGTGAGCCAGGCAGATGAAACAACATATGCAAAGGGACAGAGAAAAGGTACAGCGACCCGAGTGGGAGAGAGTGGTGAGGGCCAGAGCACACAGAACTACGTGCACACATCTGAGGCTGGGTCCTAAAGCAATGAGAAGTCATAGCTTCTAATTCATGAACTTCCTTCCTGACAGCAAGAGGTAGAATTCTAAATCACTTTATTTTAATACCTATTAACAGCCTATAGGATAACATTCTAATGTTGCTGAGAAAAAAAAATCCTAGTCCATTTTTCAGTGCCTGCTTTCCCTATGTATCAATACATTGTTTAGCTTAAAATTCTATTTTTCAAGAATTTATTGACAAAGACATTAAGTGGGAGCTCACTCTTGTTAAATTTCCCTGGTTTGCAGTAGCAGATGTAGGATACTAGAGGGAAGGATCCTATAGGAACCTGAGAAAAGGGCTGCTTTCTCCCAAACTCCCAATTACAAAATTCCCTGCTGTCCTAACATCACTGCGAAACTGTTCCCAGTAAACACTGAAATCTGGGAAGGGCAGGTCCAAGCTTGGTTCTTGGGTCAACACCTGAATTGGTGAAGTCAGCTATGCTACACCACTGCCAGTTGTAATCTGTGCAGGTAGGCACGTAGGAATATTTAATTCCTCTCTTCCCAGTGTATTTCGGTTCTCAGGGAGTTTCTGAGGGGCAGAATGCTCAGAGTGGATACCCTGCTTTTAAAATTCTTATGCCAGGAAAGCAACATTCCAGAAAGCATGTAAGAAAAGCATGTCCAGTGAAGTCACCTAATTGAAATGGGCAAGACAGCCATAGGAGCAGCTTAAGACAAGAGGTCAGAACAGAAACAAAAACAAAATAACACATCACTGATAGTAAAATAATTTTATTTAGTTTCTTTTTAAAAAGGTAGCATTTCACATATAAATTTAGACCTCAAGATTACAGTGTATATTTGCCAAAAGGGACATCCCTGAAGGAGGGATAGGCTTGGAGCTCACTGAGCGAGCACAGGGCAGCACTCTCCGTGGGGAGTCCACGCGGAAGTACTTTATCCCCTGCTCCTCAACTCTGCCACCAGGGCTTGTGGTTTGTTAGAAACCCCACACCCAGCACATTGGGGCAAACACTTTTAGCTCGCATGAACAGGAAACATCTTTAGGAATAAAAGCACAAAGGGCAATGATCCAGACATCCCACAATAATAATTTTTTATCTGCAGCAACAAAATGACAGGTGAAGAGTTTTGATAGTTCAAAAAGTTCTTTTAAGGAGGGCTAGAGAACACAAAATGCATTCATAAAGAAAATGTGTACAATTAAATGAGCCAAAACAAAAAATGATTCTCTCTGTATTACAAATGCTTCTATAGTATAAGGCCCAGGGAAAAGACCCATTCAAGTCAGGGCTTTCCCCAAATAGTGTTTGGCACAACCCATACGCTGTTTTGAGACTGACAGCACTGACTGACAGTCAGCTGAAGGCTCCTGGACGTGGTCCCATGTCTTCTGTCTCCCCTCCACATAGTGCATACATAAGGTGTCTTACCCAGCTGCACAAACTCAGGTCTAACTATGGCACACACTATTTCGGGAAGTTTATCTTAATGGAAAAGGGTCCAGATAAAAGAGGTCTCCCACAGCCACAGACTATCTCTGTCATCCTCACATGGAAGATTCGATCCACTGGCTGCCAGGAGCTAGTGGATTTCTGATTTCCTAGGGAAGGTGAAAGTTGAAAAAAAAAAAAACCAATTTTGATTTCAGTATCTCAGTGCCAAGAAAGCAAACAAAAAAATGACCAGGGATGCTTTCCAAGTTATTCTTTGTTCTATACTACGTGGGTGCCTGATGAACAATATTAAGGAGAAATCTGTGTGCTAGTAACCATGACAGCCCTAGGATTTCACCTTTAGGCAGAGGTGGTGGGGCAAATGAATGTACCCCAAATCCAGTTTTAAAAATAAAAACTTCCTGCAACTATGACACAATACTGTGCAGTGAACAGCTAGGAACTGCATGCGGCTCCTCTTTCTGGATAAAGCTCTGTCCTGCTCTTGGCCAGCCAGAGCTAAGAGGTGACATATAAGAAGTTGTCCGTGGACTAAAAACCAGGCCCCTTAGTCACACTTGGCCTGGGGCGGTAACACAGTCAGTCATCACCCAGCGAAGGGGAATGCAGGGTCCCAGAGGTTTGGTTCAAAGTAAAGGTTTCCTCTCACCCAAAACTTCAACCAAGTTCTCTCTGAGCCTACTAATGTAGTAAACTAGTGATTCGCGAGTTCTATGAGGAATCTCTGGTTAGGTGGCAGGGGGCATTTCCCAGCAGGCCACCGACCTGACCATAGGAAAACAAAAGGTGCAAATCATATCAAGTAAATGGTTGCTCAAGTGGAAGATCAATTCCTGGGGAACTTCAGCAGACTAGATGTTAATCACATGAGTGAAGGCTGGTACTAGATCCCAAAGAGCTCCTGGGTCCAGCTGTGGCCAGTCTTCTTCACATTTACCATATCTGGCACCTTCTTTCTGGTGTCTCTTGAATGGCTGAGTACACATTCCCCGGGGGGCCAATGTAAACATTATTCAATATACGTCAGCTTAGAAAAACACAGCTTGTTATGTATTTAGTGTTTAACATTCCAGTGCAGGCAGTATCTTAGCATCAGACTTTCCCTCATTCACAAATACCAGTTTAGAAAAGAACACATACAGGATAATTGATAAAACTGTGGCTGACAAGACCATTTGGGTGCCAGACAGCTGGCTCTATCCTGCAATCAGTTGATAAACCAGGACTACCACAGGAGAGGCAGAACAGACGGCGCGCAAGTTCTCGGTAAATCTGAAGAGTTGTATAACCATTGTTCCCATTTAAACCCTTGGGTCACATACTGATATGGTAGAACATTTCTACCTCTTGCATCAACCTGTGCTTTCTTTGTTTTGGATGGGGCTCTCCCCAGAGGGCTCAACAGCCTCCTTAGAGGGGAGAGAGCTTTTTCTTCCAGTCCTGAGGTCTGAATATTTCAAAGCACAAGAGGAGTCCACGAACATGCTAGGGATGTTGCTGCCAAAGTAGATCTTACTGTTAGAAGCAATGGCCTGGTACCTTTTGAGCTCCAGATATTCCGGGGTCAATTTGTGCTGTGGGGCAAACAAGAGTAAGGCATGAGGACACTCTGGTGCAACAATCATCTCTCCCACATGCATTTTCCCAACTGCTCTCCAAAGGGTATCATTACTCAACTCTGATTTGTTGCCAATGACCCTCTTGCGCTCTAATTTGCAGCTATCCCATTAATAGCTATGTTGCACACTTGAAGTTCCTTCACAAGTTCCTGTCCTAATGCAGGAGAAGTTGTTCATTTTTAATAAAAAGAGGATGGGGGTGGAGGGAAGAGTTTGGGGAACAAGTAATAACTAATTTTAGTAACATTCTCATGGTGACTTGGAACCTTTAGTGTCCTTTCCTATATATTTTCTCATTTCATATGGCTAAATTCTACCTGTAATCAATCGGGAACTTCTGTTGGCTCTTGAGAGAAATGAACAGGTGAAGAGATGAGAGTGACAGAGCATCAAAGGAAGGACTTGGGTGCATAACTTTATAGTCAGTTCTCTGTGATTCTGTTCTCTTGACCACATTCTAGAATTGGAAAAGATCCTATGGGCCTCCCTGGTGGTGCAGGCAGTTGAGCGCCGCACCGTGAAGCTGTCCGCAGCCTCTGCAGTGCCGCTTCGATCCCGGCCGGCTGGGGAGAAACCCACATGGTGCAGCAGACCTCTCCTGTCTCGCCCGCTGTTCCTCTCAGCAGTGTTTCAGTCAATCTGCTTGTTCTGTTCCCCACTCTGTCTCTGGTAAATCCTCTCATTCTCCTGAGCATCTGGCCTGTACCCTGGTTCTTGTATAAATAATCTTTAAAAAAAAAAAAAAATCCCAAGAAATTCCCTGGTCTGGCCTCTTGCCTCCCCAGATGTTGGATATTTAAACTGTTTGTGAAGGACAGGTGATTTGTGAAGGGGGAATGCAGGGTCCCAGAGTTTTGGTTCAAAGTAAAGGTTTCCTCTCACCCGAAACTTCAACCAAGTTCTCTCTGAGCCTACTAATGTAGTAAACTAGTGATTTGCGAGTTCTACGTGGACTCTCTGGTTAGGTGACAAGGGGCATTTCCCAGCAGGCCACCGACCTGACTGTAGGAAAATAAAAGGTGTAAATCA